GAGAATATGACGTGTTACTAGCGTCACGTGACCCCCGCTGTCGTAACACTGCCCCTTCCTTAGTATTGTTCGTCCCGAACAATAGCCACTTACATTAAACCAATAGACAATTAAAAATAACTTAATTAAATGTACAGAATGTACAAACTTTGACACATTTTCAGGCAACTTTCATAAGGTGGGCATCCTGTCAACAGATCCACTGGCAACCGAAGTTCCCGACCAAACATCAACTTTGCTGGAGTGTATCCAGTGGCTTCATGCTCTGATTTAATTTCTATACCTGGTTCCATTTCACCATCATCAACTCCTTCAGTCACTTTGACTTCAGCTTGATGACACCTAATTAGTTCAACCCCTCTTTTAACAGTTACCGGAACTTGGCCTTTTTTGTTCCCAAAAGTCATTTTATCAAACTAATTACAAACTTTCTCAGTAGTAAGTAGTCCAATCCTAATATGCATTCGTCTTCAATGTCAGCCACGTATACTTTGTGTCTGTCCTTTATGCCCTTGAGATCAATAGTTACCCACACTGGTCCCCACAACCTTGCATAATGTCCTGTCACGCCACAAAGCTTCTATATGGCTTCTGGTACTCCTTTATGATCTAGCGTCTTGATACTCACAAGGGTTTGTTAAGATGCAGAATCTATGACAAAGTTGCACCTTTGGACATTCAGCTTCCCTGTCACATAGACACAATGTGTGCTTGGCATTATACACTTAGATGTTGGGACTTTCACAACTGGGGTTGGTAGGAGAAATCAACATGAACCACTATTGGTTTCCTTGAGGCCGACTTATTGGTGATATTCTTCTTACACTGACTCCTCATATGTCCTTACTCTCCACAGTTCCAACAGCCTTTCTGGGTAGCAGCCTTTCCTGCTGTATCATCTCCCCTGTGTTGAAGTTGCCAGCATTGAGCTCTCTTGTGCCCATGTTTGTTACAGTGCCAGCAAAGTCCCTCAAACTTCTCTGAAAGCTGACCTTTTCTGGCCTTGAATCCAGATGACTGTACCAACCTCGATACATCTGTGCTGGACTTAACGTAGGATTCAAATTCGAGATCTCTGGCCATTGCATCCTGCATAGCAGAGGGGTATGCTTGCTTCACTTGTGTCTTCAGTTGTGGACTGTCCAAGGCATCTACAAACTGATCCCTCAGCAACAACTTGAGGAGATCGGGTGGTGCAGTTGGGTAGGCCTTGTGTGCCATACTTTCCAAGTCGTGTGCCAGCTCTTGCAGGCTCTCACCTTTAGCACGGACTCTCGTCCTAAACCTAGCCCTGTAGACTTCAGACTGATTTTGGGTTCGTACCTGAGTTCTAGAGCCGACACCAGTGTTCTATAGTTGTGTCTGTCGGCTGCTGTCAACTGTCCAAGTATTTCCAGTGGTTGTCCCTTCAAGCTCGTTGCCAGATATACTGCTTTCTGCTCCTCTGTCCATCCATTCATCTCTGCCAGTAACCCAAACTGTGCTCTATATGCTTCCCACGGTGCCTTCCCATCGAATTCCTGGAGCTTCCTTCGCACTGGATC